GAAACCCCGTCTCTACTAAAAAAATACAAAAAACTAGCTGGGCGAGGTGGCGGCGCCTGTAGTCCCGGGTACTCGGGAGGCTGAGGCAGGAGAATCACTTGAACCCTGGAGGCAGAGGTTGCAGTGAGCCGTGATCGCACCACTGCACTCCAGCCTCGGCAACAGATAAAGACTCTGTCTCAATTTTAAAAAAAAAGACAGAGAGTAGATCTTAAATGTTTGCATCACAAAAAAAGAAAAAGATAAAGATAAGTATACGAGCTGACGGATAGGTTAGTTAGCTTGATTGGGGTGTTCATTTCACAATGTGTGTATGTATATGTATATATACTTATATGTGTATATGTACTTAAATACATAAAGAGAAGCCCATATATATGTATATATATTAATATACACATATACATACACATACATTATATATAAATACACATATATTTCGATATATATATCAAAATTACATGATGTACACTGTGAATATATGATGTACACTGCAATTTTTATTGCCAATTATACCTAATACCCCCAAAGAAACAAAGATATAAACATATAAAGACAAAGAGGAGGCCGGGCATGGTGGCTAACCCTGTAATCCCAGCACTTTGAGAGGTCAAGGTGGGCGGATCACGAGGTCAGGAGATCGAGACCAGGATGAAACCCCATCTCTACTAAAAATACAAAAAAAAAATTAGCTGAGTGCGGTGGCGGACACCTGTAGTCCCAGCTACTCGAGAGGCTGAGACAGGAGAATAGTGTGAACCCAGGAGGTGGAGCTTGCAGTGAGCTGAGGTCGCGCCACTGCACTAAGGCCTGGGCAACAGAGCGAGACTCTGTCTCAAAAAAAAAAAAAAAGTCCAAAAAATAAATAAATAAATAAAGACAAAGAGGATGGAGAAGGAAAAAGTAAAACTTTGAGAGCTTTAAAGCAGATAAAGCTGGGTGCAGTGGCTCACACTATCAACCAACAACTTGGGAGGCCAAGGCAGGAGGATCACTTGAGTCCAGGAGTGTGAAGTCAGTGTGTGCAACATAGCAAGATCCTGTCTCTTAAAAAAAAAAAAAATTAAAAAGAAGAAGCGGATGATGAAAGCTGAATTATAGTTGGGGGTTGAGAAAGCTGAGAAGCAGCCTGCTTTTCATTGCAGGACCCCACAATAGTGTAACTTGCCAAGACCAGCTCACAGGACACAGGAAGCAGGCAAGAGAGAGAATCGTCTCTGGGGAATAGGACCAACCCGTGAGAAAAGACCTAAAGATACACCTACAGAGATTGGGCTACAGGCCACACCATAGAGCTTAGGACAGACACTCAGCACTTCATTCTTCTATGTGAACAGACTGTTGAAGATTGTCAGTCATTAGGGGAAGATATCTACATCATGGGCAAACAGAAAGTGAAGAGGAGAGAAGGAATCAAAAGAAATAATTCAAGAAAATGCCAAACAGAGGGATATGAATTTCTAGATTGAAAAGGCCCACTGTGTACCCAGCACAATGGATGAAAATAGACTCTCAAGAAGGCACATAATTTTGAAAATTTTAGTGCTGTGGTTTCGAAGAAAAGATTCTATAAGCATCCATAAAGGAAAAAAGAACAGGCCGGGCGTGATGGCTCACGCCTGTAATCCCAGCACTTTGGGAGGCCGAGGCGGGCGGATCACGAGGTCAAGAGATAGAGACCATCCTGGCCAACATGGTGAAACCCTGTCTTTACTAAAAAAAATACAAAAGATTGGCTGGGCGTGGTGGCGGCGCCTGTGGTCCCAGCTACTCGGGAAGCTGAGGCAGGAGAATGGCGTGAAGCCGGGAGGCGGAGCTTGCAGTGAGCCGAGATCGCGCCACTGCACTCCAGCCTGGGCGACAAAGCAAGACTCCATCTCAAAGAAAAGAAATAAAGAATATCAGGCTGGGCGCAGTGGCTCAGGCCTGTAATCCTTTCAAAAAAAACCAATCCATCTCAAAAAAAAAAAAAAAAAAATAGAAATCTATATACAACAAAAGGTGCACACGCGCACACACACACACACACACACACACACAAATCATGTATACAAATAATCATTTCCTTAGTCAAACTAGGCTCATTTCAACAGCTTAAGAGCCACGTGTAGTTAGTGGCTACCATATTAGACAGCACAGGCATAGAACATGTCCATCCCTGCAGACTGCTTTATTGGACAGCCCTGCTCTAAGTACCTCTGCTCCTGATTTAAAGCAGACTAAACTTGCATAAAATCGAATTTCCTACATACTTTCATAGTGGCCAATTTCCCCTGATTACACTTTGTTTTGTTGTTTGGTTGCAAGATAAATACATGTTTTGTTTTTAAGGTGTGCATGTATCAACATTATCATTTTTATTTTGTTTTACAGTTGTTTTTTCTGCAATGATATTTGGGACTATTACAAATCAAGATCTGCCTGTGATCAAGTGTGTTTTAATCAATCATAAGAACAATGATTCATCAGTGGGGAAGTCATCATCATATCCCATGGTAAAGTAACATTAAAATTATACCTTTAGCTGTTTTTCTCTAGAGACCATAATTTGTAAGTTATTGAAGGCTACCATGGCTAAATGGGCTTCTCTTTATGTATTTAAGTATATTATGTTCTCACATCTGGTACCGACAGAGCATCTATACTCGTAGCTCCCTGGCACTCCATTCCTTCAAGAACCATATTCTTCATATGAGGATTTAGGAAGGACACTGATTGATAACTAGCATGAAGTAACGAGTAGAGTCTTCCCTCGGTATACAGTGGGGATTGGTTCCAAGACTCTCACTAATACCAAAATCCATGGATACTCAAGTCCCTGATATAAAATGACTTGGTATATGCATGTAACCTATGCAGATTCTATATATTTTTGAGACAGTCTCATTTTGTTGACCATGCTGGAGTATAGTGGCATGATCACAGCTCACAGCAGCCTCGCCCTCCCAGGCTCAAGCAGTCCTCCCACTTCAACCTCCCGAGTAGCTGGGACTAAAGGCACATGCCACCACACCTGGCTAATTTTTTTAATTTTTTGCAAAGATGGGGTCCCACTCTTTTGCCCAGGCTGATCTTGAACTCCTGGGCTCAACTGATCCTCCCACCTAAGCATCCCAAAGTGCTGGGATTACAGTCCTGAGCCACCATGCCTGACCCTCCCGTATACCTTTAAAATTATCTCTAGATTACTTATAATACCTAATATGATGCAAATGCTTTATAATACCTAAACAACTATGTGAATAGTTGTTATACCCTATTGTTTAGGAAATAATGACAAGGGAAAAAAGTCGGTACGTGTTCAGTACAGATGCAACCCCATTTTTTTCGGAATATTTTCAATCTGTGGTTGGTTGTATCCACGGATGTGGAAACCATGGTTACAGAGGGCCGACTGTATTTCCTTCTCTCCTTAAAGAGAATCCAGGCTTTTCTCCCAAGCCTGAATCCCTCACTTCCAGATGCCCCCAGTATATAGGTAGATTTTCCATTTGCACATCAAAATCCACCTATATCATTTATTTTATTTGATTTCTATTTTCCCAAGCCTGCTCTTATTCTTGTATTAATTGATTTCTGTTTATAACCGTGCCTAGTTCCCAGGCTTGAAAGCTCAGCATCATCTTTCTTTCTATTACTTTCACATTTGGTCATTTACCAAGTGTTGTCGATTCCCTGTAGGAGTTCTCATATAATCATCTCATATTCTCTAGTCTCACTGCCACTTCCCTAATTCAAGCGCTCGTTAACTCCCTCATAATCATAGTGATATCCTAAGTGGCCTCTTCCTGCTACAGTTCATTTCAGAGATAGCTGCTGGGCTAGCCTCCCTGAAGCAGGCACATCCTTCACTGCCTGGCTCCGAACCCTCCATGATTTCCCATTACTTAGAATGATACCAAGGTTGCTCAGTAATCTGGCACTGGCTCCTTCAAGTTCCAACCTTGTTTTTCATTACTCCTCTCTTTTACGCTATTCATCTTGTTTTTCATTACTCCTCTCTCTTGTGCTATTCCCACCCCTCTATTTTAAAAACATATATTTAGTAAATTTACTCAAGGGAAGCTTAAGTGATGGAGAACTGAAAATAGTAGAAATCCTGTAATCCCAGCATTTTGGGAGGCCAAGGTGGGTGGATTGCTTGAGCTCAGGAGTTTGAGACTACCCTGAGGAACATGGTGAAACCCGTTTCTGTCAAAAATACAACAACAACAACAAAATTAACCAGCCATGGTGGCGTGTGCCTGTGGTCCCAGCTACTTGTGAGGCTGACGCCGGAGGATCATCTGAGCCAGGGAGGCGGAGGTTGCAGTGAGCCAAGATTGTGCCACTGCACTCCAGCCTGGGCAACAGAGTGACACTTCCATCTCAAAAAAAAAAAAAAAAAAAAAAAAAAGGAAAAGAAAAAAAGTAGAAATCTATAAACAACAAAAAGTGCCCATAAATTGGTAAGCTCTGCAGACATTTCCAGTTGAGGGTTCATACAAATGTATAGTCACCCTTTTTTCTTTTATATAGGTGTAACACAGAAATACATGACATAATGGCCTGACTCTCCCCGCTCCGTAAATCACATACATTAGAGATATTCTGAAGTTTTAAAAACAGTGTGAAACAAGTTTCAGTAACAACATTCTACATGAATATAAAGAAATACATGATTTTTTCATGCCAGAAGCGTGGTTGGTTTTAATTTTTCAATAGGTGTTGGCATCATAACACGTTAGCTGGTTAATAATTAAGGCATTTTGCATACACAATATTTCAATGTGGACAAAATAATTTTAATATTTGCTATGATGTTTTAAACTTTTAGTGTCTTTTTGATATAAGAAAATAGCTGCACACATTTAAGTGTTTTTGTATAAAAACACAACCTTAAATTAATGATGATTGGTTAATAATAATAAATCATATATATATATATTTTTTTTTTTTTTTTTTGAAATGGAGTCTTACTCTGTCACCCAGGCTGGAATGCCATGGTACGATCTCAGCTCACTGCAGCCTCTGCCTCCTGGGTTCAAGTGATTCTCCTGCCTCAGCCTCTCGAGTAGCTGGGATTACAGGCACCTGCCACCACACCCAGCTAATTTTTTGTATTTTTAGTAGAGACGGGGTTTCACCATGTTGGCCAGGCTGGTCTTGAAACTCCTGACCTCAAGTGATCTGCCTGCTTTGGCCTCCCAAAGTGTTGGGATTACAGGTGTGAGCCACTGCTACTGGCTGATATATATCAGATATATATATACACATATATATATCATAGATACATATATCGTAGATATATTTAGATATACTCTATATTCTTATGCAATATTCAGGATTGTATTAAGACCTAGTAGTTCTTTTATTATTATTATTATTATTATTATTATTTCTTTTTTAAAGACAGCATCACGGCCAAGCATAGTGGCTCACGCCTATAATCCCAGCACTTTGGGAGGCTGAAGTGGGTGGATCACCTGAGGTCAGGAGTTCGAGACCAGCCTGGCCAACATGATGAAATCCCATTTCTACTAAAAATATAAAAATTAGCCGGGTGTTGTGGCACATGTCTGTAATCCTGTAATCCCAGCTACTCAGGAGGCTGAGGCAGGAGAATCGCTTGAACTTGGGAGGTAGAGGTTGCACTAAGCAGAGATCTGCATTCCAGCCTGGGCAACAGAGAGAGACTCTGTCTCTAAATAAATAAATAAATAAATAAATAAATACATAAAGGATCTCACTATGTTGCCCAGGTTGGTCTCAAACTAAGACCCAGAAGTTCTTAAACCACATTAAACAAATAACGATACAAATCCTAATTGCTGCAAAGATGAACAGTCTTTATGGTGTACTTTCATCTCATTGGACTTGCTTCTTTTAGATCCTTCCCCACTTCAATGTGAAGTAGATTGTAAGAGTTTCAGTGGCTTAAAAAAAAAGTTTTCATTTCTTCCATAGTTCACACTTCTCAGATGAGGCATTTTTCGGAAAATCCTCCAGTCCAGGGATGTTTTGAAAAACCACCAAGCACTCTTTAGTAGATAAGACTTGTCAATGCCTCTGTGATGGCGTTGATCACAGTGTGATCTACATCTTTAGCTCTATTACCAGAGTATACCCTGGAACCAGAGTAAGATGGTTACACAGTTCCCACAATCTACTTAATTGTTTACAATACAATTTTTTTTGGTCTTTGTATTCGTCATGAAACTAAAAGAAAAAGAAAAAAAGAATGTTTCTATCATTTACAGTCTCTATTTGGGATGATAGTTCTGATCACCCCTTTTTATGACTGCTTGAAGCCAGCTTAGACCAACTGTTAGTCCATTTTTGTGTTGCTATGGAGAAAGACCTGAGATTGGGTGATTTGTAAAGAAAAGAGGTTTAACTGGCTCATGGTTCCACAGGCTGTACAAGCATGGCAGCAGCATCTGCTCAGCCTCTGATTAGGCCTCAAGAAGCTTCCATTCGTGGTAGAAGACAAAGGGAGAGCAGGCATATCACATGGCGGGAGTAGGAGCGAGAGAGAGGGGAGGTCCCAGACACTTTTAAACAACCAGATCTTGCATGAACTGAGAACTCACTGATCACCAAGCCATTCATGAGGTATTCACCCTGATGATCCAATACTTCCTACCAGGTTCCATCTCCAACATTGGGAATCACATTTCTTGTTTTTTTTTTTGTTTGTTTTTTTTTTGTGACAGAGTCTCACACTGTCACCCAGGCTGGAGTGCAGTGGCGCCGTCTCCGCTCACTACAACCTCCGCCTTCCAGGTTCAAGTGATTCTCCTGATTCAGCCTCCCAAGTAGCTGGGACTACAGGCGTGTGCCAACCCACCTAATTTATTTTTGTATTTTTTGTAGAGACGGGGTTTTGCCATGTTAGCCAGACAGGACTTGAACTCCTGACCTCAGGTGATCTGCCCACCTCGGCCTCCCAAAGTGCTGGGATTACAGGCATGAGCCACTGCACCCGGCTGGGAATCGCATTTCAACATGAGCTTTGGAGGGGACACACATCCAAACCATATCACCAACTATTCCATATTCTTGAAATTTGCTTTTAAGAAATGACTATACTAAGGCACCAAGTATTCACAGCAGCTGAGTGAGATGTACTGTTCTTTTTTTCCTGTCAGTGATTAGAGAGCATAGGCAGGCAAGCCACCCTAACTCTAAAATTATCTCTCCTTACCAAATCGGTTCCTTTATACCTCCCTTCCTCCAGCAAGTCAAAGCTGCATTTAATGTCACATTCCTCCTGAACAAATCTTGTGCCATTGCGGCACAGTCTAAACAAAACAAAACATCATAAAAACAAAAACAATAAACACCAAAAGTCTCCACTATGGTTTAACGATGGGTTTTCTGTTTGTGAAGAACTGAAGTCACTGGAGTTGACCAAATGTGTTTGACAATCATGACCTCATATTTCAGGCAGGTGGCCTGCACAAGCCAGCTCATTTTCTTTATTTGCCGTGTCCCACCCTGTACTTCTAGAGAA